ACACACACACAGAGCTGAGCAGGAGCCCAATGCAGCACAGGACAGCGGTCCTAGGTCGGGGACCTTCCAGTCTGGGATGACTAGGCGGGTGGTTGCAAAGTTTTGGCTATATCTTGTCAGGGTGGGGACCCAGGAGGTTGGTGGTGGTTCTGAGGGTAGGGTGGTGTTGGGCAGAATGAGCCCTGGGGTCTCAGCAGAGCACTGGCTAAAAGCCTGGATACATTCTCAGGTCTTCTGCCAACCACCCAACCAGAAGCCGGGCCTGGCACCATGGAGTTAGGACTGCCTCCTGGTCACCCCCACAGAATAGGGCAGAATTGTGAGGCAGAGCCTGCAGCCGGAGGCTAACGGCTGTGACCTGGCTACTCATGGAAAGGGTAGGAGTTAAACTTGATCCTGCGTACCTTGGAAGGAAGGCCTGGCGATCTCCTGACGAAAAAAATCCCACCCTTGGAGCCCCCTTGGGCACACACAGGGCCTCACTTGTGAGTCACAGTGACCTGCTAACCTGTTGGCAGAGGAACACCTGGCCTTTCTCCCGAGGTGCACTTCCCTCTGGGAGGGTTTCCACCAACCCCCTTGGAGCTAGTAGCTAGAGGCCGCCTGGTGTACCCCTCCCAGGGGCTCTGAGGCCCAGGCGACGCCCCCTCCCCGCCCTGGCGACGCCCCTCCCCGGCCCCCACGAGGTCCGGCTGGCGGGGACCCACCTGGCTCACGTCCCCGACATTCTCCATCTTCTTGGTCTGCGCCACGTGGCCGACGATGCCGATGTCCAGCGGAAAGACCATCTCGGAGTCGGGGGGCACGAGGCAGTCTTCCAGGACGCTGTCGGGCTGCACGCTGAAGAGGCGCGTGGCCAGCTCGGCGACCCCATTGCGCTGGCGGTACATGAAGAGGCTGCAGCGGTCGGCGCGCAGCGCCCCGCAGAGCCGCCGCAGGGTCTTGAAGACCACGCGCTCCATGTTGACCTGCTCCTGCATGTCCCGCACCAGCTCCAGCAGCGCCTCGCTCTCCTCCACCTGGCACAGCTCCCTGAAGCTGGTGCAGTCGGCCGGGCGCCGCGCCTCCCCCTCGGCGGCCTTGGCTGCATGCTCAGGGGCCAGCGGCTTCTCGAAGTAGCGCTCCACGAAGCCAGGGTTCTGGTCCAGGAACTTCTGCACGCGCTCCTCGCTGAGGCTCATGGCTGCCTGTCCGCTCCAGTCCCCCAAGCCGCCTCTAGTCCCTCCCCCCCTCCTGCCCCCCCCATCCCAAGTGCTGGGGCGCCAGGGAGCGCTGGG